TCTTGTTCCTTAGGTATTAATTTCTAAACCTTCTTGTCTTTTGTTCAAGGATAATAGATTTCCAATATACCACTTTGGGTTTTATTTTTTTTTTGCACTACTCTGGCTCCTGGCACCCAACCAAAGCTTTTGCTCCCTTGCAAAAGCCTCCGGTTCCTGGCAGCGTCTGGTCTTCAGGGCTCAGCAGCACCCTGGGGAGCCCAATTCGGGGAAGAGCTGTGATTGCAAGGGCTGAGCAAAGGGACTGCCACCAAAACCTGGCCCAGAACTGAGCTTCGCTGCAGGGGCTGACCCCAACTCCCAGTCTGTAGGGGTTCGGGGTGGCTGTGCTCTCTGCACACTTACCCACCTTCTCCCCAAATCCAAGCTCTGGGTTAGCCTTGGCCATCTGACACACGGGGAATTAGGTTTCCCTTGGTACGAGTTCAGCTGTTGCTCCACACACCATCCAGCCAGTGCTTCAATAACATCACACAAGGTATTGAAGATATCTCGATGGCTGATGAGGTTTTTGCAAGGCAGTGGGGTGCAACGTGGACATCCCTCCCAGCCCAGCTCTGCTCATCTCTGCCATCGCTCCATTCCCAGTCCAGGTTCATGCTGCAGGGAGCATCCAGCCATAGAAAGCAAACCCCAAAATTGCCTTCTGTCCCACCTTGGTCTGGTGAAGGAGAGTGACAGCGGAAGGACTTCTCTCTCCTCTCTCATTCATGCAATATTAAGCAGGGCACTGGAGCTGCGACTGACAGTATCAAGCACTGACCAAAAAGTGTCTCATTTTCACCCAAAGTGCACCAAAAAATCTGTCATGGGGATTAGCCAACAAGAAACCAACACATTGTCATCCAGCCTGTCCCTCCTTGCAGGATCTTCCAGAGAGTGCATGATCCTTCAGGCCACTTTGGACCCAGTTGTGGCAATCTAGCTTGGCTTTGCGAGTCACAGCTCAATCCCCTGCCCAGCGTGTTTGGGGACACAGAGGAGGTGAGGAGACAGTTACATACATGAAAAGCTATTGCAAAGAATATAAGGAGCAATGACTGGACATGAAACTCCATTTTTTGGACCCTCTTACAAAACAGGAGCTGCTTTTCTGCCTCTGATGGACCCTAAGGACTTAAGCTGCCAGCTGTGATGGCCGCTGAGAGGAAGGAGCCAGCTGTAAGGGTCACCTGTGAGCCAGCATCTGCATTTCATTCTGCCAGTCTGCTCTGCAGGGACCGGGGTTGGCAGTCATGGTCTGGGGCAGCATTTATTCTCCAGCCCTCCTGTGCTCTTCTCCTGCATGGCCTGGGGGAACAGGGGCTGCTCTTCAGCACGAGAATTAGATAAGAGAAGGAAACATCGCTTGGAAAAGTCCATACAACCACCTAAAGCTGAGCGGGGCTCTGAAGATGAAGCATTCTGCACTGTTTTTCCAAAGCAGCTGAAGGGTGGGATCGGAGGAGAAGCCCCAGACGTGCCCAGAATCAAGTGTGAAGGAGGCAGAAGCCAAAGGGGACAGGGACAAAGACCAGCTGCGACACAGGTCCAACACCAACCCTAAAGATCGTGCCAAACCCAAGACTTGCCCTGGGTGCCAGCACCCACCCAAGGGACCCACCTGAGGCAGGAGTTGCTTGCAGGGGTGAGGTCCAGCGGGGCACAGCCAGGAGCAGGGCTAGGGACCAGCAGCATCCTTCAGGGAAGGACTAACACCCCCAGCTGAGCTTAAATAACCTCCCGAGCCCGTGGGTGGGGGTGTGGGTCCCAGGTGAGGCTGCTCAGGGCCATCAAGGGCTAGCAGTGCCCATGGGAAGGTGGTGATTTGGCCCTGCAGCTATCTGGCTGTGGCTTTACTGGTTGCGTGGCGATGCCCAGCTGGGCTGTACTGGGGGTGCCATGGTGGTCACTGCTGAGCCTGGTGCTCACTGTGCATTGGGGATGGCCCACGGTGCTGAGCACTGAGGTGGGGTCTGGCGTGGCCATACGTGTGGAAGAAATAATGAGATGCTCTTTGACAAACTCTGTGTTCAGGCTTCTCCCCCTTGCACCATGGAGTCACCTCCATGACCAACAGAGCCCTGCTCTTGAGAGCCCTTTCCTGAGGGTCTAAGGACCTGCCACCAAAGTCACCCCCTCAAAGGCTTGGAAATTACCCAAAATTTCATCACGAGCAGGAGCAGCGCTGGGCATAACCAGGCATCCCCCCACTGGGGCTCAGGCCAAGCCACC